ATTTAATCATAGATAACTTTATATAATCATTCCATACACAATCATGAATTAACCGCATTTTAATATTTATAAATATTTCTTCACAATACCTTTGCCTAACTGATCGCGACGGTTTTGGTGTCTATGGATTCCTTGCACCCTCTAGAACACATTTGTAGGACCTGAGCTGACAAACCACCTAATTGTTACCGCGACCTTAAATAATTCGAAGCACGATGTTCTCTGATTCTGGTGTTGAAACCATGCCGTTTTAAAAAAAATGGTTTATCGCATTTGCTACCGGGTATGTGATATACAGCGTTATTGAGGTTGTTTGCGGACAGTGTTCTGTCTCGTATTATGTCCTTATTGTGTCTATTCACCGAATGTGCTGGCGATTTTTACTGTACTGCCAAAGTACTTGCTGACCACCTCGGAAATGTTACATGACGGTAATGTGAGAACATTTGAAGCGAATTCAGGGTCTTGTCTTGAATGTATGTTCTTTCTGATATTTAACAAGAAGCTTCTGGAGTATTTATGTTTCAAGAATGAGTTAATTACAAAAGCTTTCTGTATACAGAGAAACGCAGGCCGCCGGCACCCTCATCATCATCATCATTGGGGGGCTAACGCCGGTAGGGGCGCATAGCCGCGTCCACCCTTCGTTTCCACCTGCGAGGGTCTCTCATGGCGAGCCGCCAGGCAGGGGCCCGGCCCATCTCTAGTTCCTCACGACAGGTTTGATCGATCTGCCCAAGCCATGACCTTCTTGGTCGTCCCACAGGCCTCCTCCACCCAGGGTTGACTCGAACAGAGACAACCTGATGGGCAGGATCATCCTGCGGGAGTCGAGCCAAGTGGCCATATAGCCTGAGCTGGCGATCACGGATTGTGCAAGTAACAGGTCCTGTACCGGTCTCACGGTGTAGCTGTTGGTTGGACACATGGTCCCGCCAACTGTACCCCATGATCCGGCGCAAGGATCTGTTACAAAAGGCATCAAGACGAGATTCCAAAGCACAAGATAGCGTCCAAGTTTCACTACCATATAGTAAAACTGGCAGTATCAGGGCCTTGAAAACTCGTAGCTTGGTCCTTCTGCACAGGTACCGGCATCTCCAAATACTCTTGTCGAGAGATTTCATGACCCCTGCTGCCAGGCCAATCCGTCTACTGACTTCCTGGTCTGACAGCCCAGAGTCATGAACTGCACTACCGAGGTATATAAAACTCCTAGTGACTTCGATGTTTTCACCGCAAGCACGGACCGACTGCACAGGGTCTCCTAGTAGGCGCCCAAAATCCTGGATCTTGGTCTTGGTCCAGGAGACCTCTAGCCCCAGGGGCTTCGCTTCATTGCTAAATGCATCAAGAGCCGCCACTAGGGTTTCCAGAGATTCAGAAAGAATGGCAACATCATCAGCAAAGTCAAGGTCTGTAACCTTGATATTGCCCAGAGTTGCTCCACAGTGACTTTGGACAGTAGCTCTACCCAGTATCCAATCCATGCAAGTGTTGAAAAGTGTTGGTGCAAGGACACAGCCTTGCCTCACGCCTGAGCTAACAGGAAAGAAGCTCGACAGGCCCCCACCACACTTTACAGCACTTTCAGTGCCTGTATACAAGTTTGCTATTAGCCCAACAATCCTTGTTGGAATTCCTCTCAGTCTCAGGATCTCCCAGAGTGATTCGCGATGCACCGTGTCAAACGCCTTCTTGAGGTCGATGTAGGCTGCAAGCAGCCCACGTCCGAACTCACGACGGCGCTCTACAATGACTCGAAGCGCCAGGATGCGGTCTATTGTGGACTTACCAGGGGTGAATCCAGATTGCTCCGGTCTTTGGTGCCTCAGGAGGTGGTCTCTGATACGTCTCAGTAAGATGTGGGCGAGTACCTTGCCTGGCACACTGAGCAGTGTAATGCCTCGGTGATTGCTGCAGTCCCACCGATCCCCTTTCCCCTTCCAGAGAGGGATGACCATACCCCTCAGTAGGTCGGGGGGAATGGTACCGGTCTGCCAGATGGCAGACAGGACTGCATGCAAGCCCCTTGCCATAGGTTCTCCACCAGCCTTTAACAATTCAGCTGGGATGCCGCAGACACCTGCTGCTTTACCACTCTTCAGCTTGGAGATCGCCCCCCTGACTTCAGTCAGGGAGGGTGGATCCTCGCTGATGGGTGGGTCTGGCAGAGGAGTCTCAACATTCCCAGCATCCAAGTTAACTGTTGGTGGATCAACCTGATACACTGACCACTCGCTGAGCGGACTGCCGTCGTCTGTGAGGAGGGCTTGGAGTTCAGCTTTCTCAGAGCTTGGTAGGCAGGACGAAGGTCATTTACTAGGAAACGGCTTTCGACCTCCTCTGCAAGATTACTGATATACTGTTCCTTATCCCTTCTCAGCAGTGACCTAGTCCTGCGCGCCAGAAAACGGTGCAAATTGCGATCCCCTGACAATCGAGCTGCACGGGAAGCTTCTGTGGCTTCCAGTGTCTCCTGCGAGATGGTATTCTGCCTTGCTCTAGGGCGTACACCAATGGATTCCTGAGCTGCATCAAGCGTTTCACGCTTGAAGGAATCCCACATAACAACAGGGTCTGTCAGGCCCTCGAGTGCTGTGAACCGACCAGAGATAGCCTCAGCAAACCCCCGGGCACACTCATCCTCCCTCAGTCTGTCCAGATGAAACACCCTGGGGTGCTCATTTGGTCGACGGGGGGTTTTAAAGTGGACCCGGAGAGTAGCCACAACTAATCTATGATCAGTTCCACAGAACTCGGCCCTTCGATACACCCTGCAGTTCTGGAGGATCCTCCACCGAGTGCTGACGAGGATGTGGTCGATCTCCTTGGCCACCCTACCCGTATCGCTGTACCAAGTCCAGCGATGCGGGTCAGAACGCTGATACCAGGAGCCAGAGATCCTCAATTTCTGGGACCTAGCAAAGTCACGGAAAAGGAGGCTATTCTCGCTGCCAGCATCAGCTCCTGAGCCATGGGGACCGACAGACATCTCGTAGCCAGCTCGATCACATCCGGATACCGCATTGAAGTCGCCCAAAACAATACGAATATCTCGCCGAGGACAACTGTCTGCCACAGATGCAAGTTTGGCGTAGAACATCTCTTTCACCTCAAGTTTATATACATCCGTAGGAGTGTACACAGCAATAAGAGACATGAAGCCAAATGACAGCTTCAGTCTCAATACCATTATACGCTCATCGACTGGAGTGACCTCTACTACCGAGGGTTGAAGTCGGCTGGAGATGGCTATGGCTACTCCCTGGAGATGGTGGCCATCGCTGCGGCCCGACCAGTAGTAAGTGTAGCCACCCACACTAATCGTGCCGCTGCCAGGTCTTCTCACCTCCGAGAGAGCAACCACCTCAACTCTCAGCCGCTTCAATTCCCTCGACAGTAGTGGTAACCGATCATCCTGTCGCAGGGAACGGACGTTCCAAGCCCCCACCCTGACAGCCCGCCTGAGGTTTAACCTCTGGCAGTCACTCCGGGTGGGCGCCACCTCTGCCACCCCCACCGACGCCGCCCCATATAGAGGTTGGCTGGCTGCAGGTCCCCTAATCCACCTGCAGGGCTCCCGGGGGCTTTCCCCCACAAGCATCACGCCAGGCTGGCGGCCGCTGGGACCCAGAGGGGATGAAGGGTAACCCCCCCCCCCCCGCCTGAGTCCCAGCGGTCGCCAACCCAGAGGGACCCACAGCCTGCCGTTCTTGCTGGGTAGGAGGGGCTTTAGCCCTCCCCCCAGCACCAACTTCTTTATGATTCGTTGCCAGTTTGGTTGTCTCGGAGGGGCAGACTGGCAAGGCCTGCCCCCCCACAGCCTCCCCTTAACCCCGGGGGGCACGGGGGGCAGGAGTTGGTACGAATCCAGGGCGTGTCCACACGCCGGTGGGCCATGACTCCGTACCTTTAGGGCCTCCTGCTGCTCCAAGAGCCTCCACAGTTCAGCCTAGGACCGCAAGGTACCTAGTTTCCATGGGTGGCCACGAGGAGGCACTGCAGAAGTCTTGATGATGGAGAGGCTATGAGCTGGCAGGGGAGTCTTATGCAAAGCTGCTCCCTTTTCGCACCAGGCTAGCCAGCGGTGGCAGCTGCAAGCGAGAAGGCATGCAAGCTCTTAACACTACTTAGGCTACCACACCATCGCTTCACATCACCCACGAGCATGAAGCACCCACCCTGATGGATCAGTATTCAGGAAAGGTAATTTCTGATCCTCTTCGATCAGGATTTTCTCGAGGACGGAGTTAAGCTGCGTCAGCGTATCGTGTAAACACGACCTCCAGGGAACAATGACGTAACGAAGCTAAGTAGAATGTCTGCCGATTATATCCCTGTAGTGATCCCTCTCCAGTGTCTCCTTGAAGAGGCAGGAGCAGGACTGCGCTCAAAGGGCAGCCCATGGCAAGACCACTTTTTCTCCTGCGAACACAAAGTAGCCGAAGTCCATGGTGTCTCAGCAGCGGCAGTTCATCATTTATCATGGAGCTGATGGCACTCTCGCCTGCTCGTATTGTTCCCTCTGTGGGTATATTAGTAAAAAAAGGGATTTCACATTAAAATTATCCAGCTTTCATTTCTGCACCCGGAATTCCGAAGACGTCCCATATGGTCACCGGAGTTCTGGTGGTAAGCCCTGGTGACCCCCACATCGCCGGAGAGGGGTTCAGCCAAACAATGGGGAGCGCTGCCAATGCCAGAAGTGACCGGTCTCATCGTTATGTACCTTCGGGAGACTTCTCGTGGGCGGGTTGCGACGGGCCTCCTTCAAACAGGTGAAATAAGCTAATGCAGGAGTAAATCCCTCGCCGTCTTCTTCAACCTGGCAGCTTCCACCTTCCCCTCAAAATTGGGATCGCCGAGGGGCGCGACGACGCAAGCGGTAATCTCTTGGATGAACCCTATGTCGACGTCACTATCGGTCCAGCAGTGGTTCGAGATTACGTAGTCGATTAAGTTCTTGTTGCCCTGTCTGGTGCTGAATTTGAGCCCAGGGGAAAGGGCTTCTTTCTGTGCGAGTTAGGCATTTAGAAGAAATGTTTCTAAAAAGATCACTTCGTCCATCTCTTGTCCATCTGCACTTGCTGCACATACGCTGTAATTTTGCTAAATCATAAGCTTATTCATATGATTATATCCCGCATCCATATATCAGATCTCAAATAGATTCACCTCTGCCCTCTGCCTTCTTGCCCCTCCTCTCGCTCGCGTGCCCTCACGACGTCACCGTAAAGGCATCCGCAGGCAAAACACTTCGGCTCCACGGGTTGAAGGTAAAAAGTGGTGGTTTAAGGTAATTGTGAGGAAATTGAACAAACTTCTGATGTCATTTGCTTTATAAAAGGTATGTGTCTTACCACAAGGAATGATACTGGTAGATATTGGTGACAGTGGAGGAAACTAATACTGCCCAAAGAAACATTTATAAAGATGTCAGACCGGAATGGATTATGATTTATGATATATAGTAACGATCTGACTGTGCCTTGGGGTCATTTCATGGTGTAAAATGACACCCTCTGTGTCACAGCAAAATATACCGCTAGTTTGCAAATCGTCCCAACTGGCAGGCAAAGCGAGACATAAAAGGCGAAATTGATTGACATAAGCAATGGGGTCAATATGTAGTATAAGGCAGTGGCAGAGTTGGGTAATAAAACCTGCATGAAATGATAAAGCAATACAAACCAAGACAAAGTTCTTCTATGGCAATATGTGTGCAAATGCTTCCCAAGGCTGCTGTACATAAAAGAAAAGAGAAGATCCCCCTGTCAGTATGTAGAAGAGGGTAGTGGGTTACTTTTGAAATAATTTTGATATTTTTCTGCATGAAATCCACTGCTTTCAATGATTCTAGGCATTGTTCCTTGTGCAAATGCATCGTTGAGGAGATATGATCACCATCTTCATCGGCAATCTTGATTTAATAGTCCCGATAGCAGGGGATGGCATGAAGCATATCAGGAAAATTATGGGGTAAAACAGGACCCTGTGGTTGTTAAACAGAATGTCCTAACCCAACATCCAACCTAACCTAACACCGTGGTATATATTGCCTAGCCAGGGAGCTCTGCCTCCTGGACCCCCGTGGTAGTATATGCATCCAGAATTCACCCTCACAATATAAACAAGATGAGTGACTTAGCCAAAATTGGGTGATCTTCTCTTTTCTTTTACGTATAGCAGCCATGGGAAACATTTTCACACATATTGCCATAGATGGACTTTGTCTTGGTTTGTATTGTTCTATCATTTCACGTAGGTTTTATTACCCAACTCTACCATTACCTTATACTACATATTGTCCTCTCTTTTCACTTATCATAAATGACAAAAGATTATTGTCTTGTATTTATTAGCTTCTTTTTTTCCGAATTCATGTATATTTATTATTTATGTAGATTGTAGTGTATAAATCTCACAGGGTTAAGTTTAGGTTGGTTTATTTGTTTGGACGCATTGTACGATTACCATGGGGGATCTGGATTGTGTGAAATCCTATAGATTTTTACTGAATGATGGGTTTGATTCCTATAGAGTTTCCTGAAATTTGGTGCATCGGTGTGAAATTATGTAGCAAAATTGATGTTAATCCTTGCACATTGTGTCATTTCAGACAGAATGGGGAGAAAATTACCATTTCACATAAGGAGGACATTCCCTAACTGCTAGGGATATTCTTCTTTTAAATATCTTGCAGTTGTGTTATGATTTGCTTCATCATTTCCTCCTGAGGGGGGGAGTGTGCAAGAGTCCACTTTGAAAGGCTATGCACTCCTTTATAGGCAGGTACAAGCCTGCCACTCACAGGTCAGTCAGCCACGCTTAGGACACCTTCACCAGTTGTCTCACTCTGCATGGGTGTAGGAGGGATGGGTAAAATTTCCAGGGAGTCAGTTTCTCTTGCTGACTTTTTCAAGAGAGACCGTGTCATTTCACACCATGAAAGAACACCTTAGCACTCTAAGTTGGGTAGTGTACATGTGTGTGTGTATGTGTGTATGTGTGTGTGTGTGTGTATACATGTATGTGGCTTCAAAATCTATCCATATCCACCTGAAACTTGCTGTGATCTGTTAGGTCCAATTTAAATTTCTGTCCATTGCTTTATAGGAGCTATGCCAAGTAGTCTCCATGTTTTGTCCTGGACCACAAAGCATGCTTAGTTTGCCAGATGACTGCACAGTTATTTGTCAAAAAAGGTTTATTCATCAAAGTTACTGAATTGTCCCAAAAAATATATTTTTTAAATCAGTGCTCATGTTATTTGTGACACATCACTTTATATTGTTCCACAGGTTGCCTTGATGAACAGCACAACCCATGTGAGGTTGTTCCTTTGCGAGTTAGAGACGGAGGAAGATAAATTTTATTTAGGCGAGGAAGAAATTGTAAGAGTCGACATCATTGGTACTGTGGTGTACATCAGCCAAAGGGAGCGAGTCATTACATTTCAAAGTAATCATGTGTTTCCTTCTGAGTAGAGAGCTGAAACTAGTTCATACTTTGATAAATTTTTATTCCAGAAATGTAAAAAGGTTTTTGATTGTAATATGTTTATATGAGTTGTTCTTTAGTTTTGACTGCCTATAGATTCTATACTGGTTTAGTAGTTATTTGGGCTTTTGATCCATCAACTCAAACATTAACTAAAAGTATATGAAAATTAGGAAATAAGTTAGTGACAGCAGCAAGTAACTGACTTGAAATAGAAAAAGAGGGCTTGTCATATTATATGAATGCATTTTAATTTTTTTTCTTAAGTCAGTTTGGACTTTATTTTCAGTTGATGATGGAACAGGCATAATTAATTGTGCAAAATTCACCAGCCCTGAGTCTGAAGGTGACTGCAATCGTCAGCATTCTCAAAGAGAAAAAGGACCTAATCATAGCCTCAAGAATCTACTTCTGAGTTTAGTTCCCCCAGAGAATCCCTTAAAACTTGGGGATCTTGTTAATGTTCGAGGCCGCTTGAATATCTTCAGAGACCAGCCTCAGATTATTGTGAACAGTTTACGTATCCTTTTGGCATGTGGGTGAATCTGTGATGGCAGTTGTACTAGGTATGCTTTTCTGCTGAGATAAAGGAGGTTTTATTATGTTACAAATTTGATTTGTATGATTTGCTTAAATTTTGCAGTAATTGGTATTATGTTTTATTTAGAAAATGATGAAAGTATTTATCATTTTTCTACATAGAAATTGTGATATATAAAGAACAGTTTTCAACAGTGGTCATTTCCTTAATATTTGCTTCAGGTCATGTTCATGATGTTAATGAAGAGTGGTTTCGGGTATTGGAAATAAATGCACTAAGGAAGAGTAAAGCAGTTTCCATGAATAATGCTAAAGAATCTGATATTCATAGTTCTGACAGACTGCACTGTTTCTTTCAGTCAGAGTAAATACTTTTACGTGCATTTTGTAAAAATCACAACGTGATTTGATTACTGGCTAACATAAAATATGGAATCTAAGGATATCACAAATATAGAGAGCATATTAGGCATACGGAAGCGTGCCAGGGATGTTGACCATGCTGCACGCACAAAGAGGCGTAGCCTGGCTCGGGATGCTCGTCGAGTGGATTTAGATGACATTGTCAAGAAGCTACAGGTAAGTTACTTACATATATATAAATACCCCTCCAATGCCTTGCTCATTGCTGTTGTAGGGGTGGGGGAGCTTAGAAGATAGAGACTGAGGCCCAGTGTGGGAGTTCACCACTACCTTGGCCCTCAGCCCTTGTCTCAAATAATTTTTCATTATCTTCTCCTTCTTCCCCTTTCATCCCCTTGTTCTGTCCACTTATCCTATTTGTTACACTAATTTTTGCCACAGTACTTTTTCATAATACTCCCTACTCCCATAACTCCTTCCCCTTAAAACAAATTTTACCTTATGGTATGCTCCATCAGCTCCCCGCCTCTACTCTTCAGAACCACAATACCCTCTAGTACTGTTCAACCTGTAACTTTGCTGTAATCATTAACTTATTCCTAGCCATTTTTTCTAACCACCATAGTGCCATATGACCTTTAATGTCATATGGCACTTCCTTACCTGGGGCTTTGCCCCCAAGCATTCACACATTTGAATACACTGTTAACCCATTTTTGCCGGGTAAAAATGAACAAAAAATGGGGGAAATGCCGTGCTCATTTTTTATATTTTTTTGTGAATTATCTCTACACTAGATGGCTCTGCCTTACCTGATTTCACCTTTACTTGAATTGGTGGGAAAATGTATTTTTACTAGTGCTATGAATATCGATGGTTATTTTTATTATAAATTTTATAATTACCATAATGTTATAAACATTAATAACAGCAAAATAAGATAACGTAAAATATTTTCATAAATTAAAGAAAAGGGTAAACAGACGAGACAGGCAGTACAAGTACAAGTGCAGCCATCTATGTCTAAAACAATTAAACAAGTAAACTCACAATGGGCCCATCACGTATACGTGACACCTGGCGTGAATGGGTTAATGACCCCAGATGTTGATGTGGCAGAAAATTTCAGCAAATGGAATAAATATATATAGTGATAAAGATATAGATATAGATACAGGAACACACACACACACACACACACACACACACACACACACACACACACACACACACACACACACACACACACACACACACACACATACACACACACACAGATGTACATGTACATGTAGTATTTTACATCTGCATCTAGCTAAGTGGGGGAGAATGTGAGTTACAAGGGCCATTGCGAAAAATAAGTAAGTTGAAAGTGATAGAAGGGGGGGGGGGGGCAAAACCACTTGTGTGATTGTTTTTCTTTTGTGTGAGGCACAGGGTGGTGGGTGGCAATGTTTGTTGCTGCAAAGCATGACTTATGAATAGGTTGTTGGGTACCCTACTATTTTACATTATGTACAGACATATTATTATGTTTTTATTCTCTTATTTTGAATATATGTTTATTTTTTTTCCCCTCTTTATCTTTTTCCTCAATACATAAATCTAAGAAGAAATTATAGTAGCTCTAATGAGTGATTTGTACAAATGTGTCATATCCCAGGTGCCCTCAAGAGAGGAATTGCTGGTCCTGGCAGAACAACTGAAAAAACAGAAGGAGTTGGGGACCCTGCAAAGACTGAGGCTAGGCTTAGTCAGTGATGAGAGTATTTCTGCCTTTTTGGATTGGAATGGTGCCCTTTATGCAGTGGTTGGTTGCTTGACAGGTAATTTATCTTTTTTATATCAAGGTAAAGAATTTTCTTTTCATTTTAGCTAGACTGATTTTATTTTAAGATTTTGAAATATTTGTAACTTTTCACATGATCATTATTGATGAAAGGACATGTCAAGATTTTAAGATCACTGTTTTTGTATTTATGTGAGATGTTCCCATTACCTAGTTTTGGTGTATTTTGTTTTGAATTTTGCCAATTTTTATATGCAATCTGTACAGGAAGTTTTTATTTGATAGGTCAAGATGCCAGCCTGCAGAGAGAGGCAGCATGTACTCTCATCAACCTTGCCTTAGGATCAGAAAAGCAGTGCTTGGACATTTGCCAGAAAGCAGGAGTGTATCTTGTGATGCACATTTCAAACAACAATCCACAACTGCAGGTTTGTATTAAGGTACCTCTACTTTGTTTTATTAATTGTAGGGAATTATGTAATAAAAATGAATTAAGTTGTTTTATTATAAAGGCTTGTTAGGGGATCATCAGCTGGACTTCAGTTACTGTGTTTGAGCAGATGATTTAATCTATTTTCTCTTTTAAACCAGCTGTTTTGGTAAAACAAACATGTGAGTGGTTTCTAAGTAGCATATATTTTTCAGGATCCATGTGCTTGGTGTATTGGCAATCTGTGTGGGACTCATAAGTCTGTATGCCAGTTGCTGCAGAGGCAGGGGGCAGAGGATGCATTAGTGAAGCTGCTTGAATCTTATGTCCCCCACGTCACACAGTCTGCTGCATATGCCCTTATGCAGTATCTTACCACAATGCCTGAGAGAATAGAGTAGGTTGTAACATACATCCTGTAGTATTCATGTAAACTAGATATATTTTCCCCATGCCTCCAGGCTGGTTAACATGCTGAAAGACCTAAACATGGTAGCATGACAAAGTGTGGGCAACCAGTGTGTTTATTTTTATGCACTATTTGCACTAATAAAATTAATTCATGAGGAGGCAAAGGATTAAAAATTGATTCATGACTTCTTTTTCTGTCTGGATGAAATGTATACTATATAAAAGATAATCAGACATATGACATTCAAAAATATTGAGGGTTGATAGATAGCCTCAGTAGTATATAGACACACTCACTGAAGCTTGTCTTTTGACAGAGTAATAGCAACTCCTTCAATGGTCACAAGACTTATTGAAGGTCTTGGTAAAGTGGATGAAGGAATAGAAGATATTGGCTGGTGTCTTTTCACTTTGTCAACTAGGAAAGAAGTTTGTTGTGTCCTGGTAGACAGTGGAATTATACAGGCAGCATTCAACAATCTTGAAAAATTAACCAATCAACAGGTATGTAATGAAAAAAGTTAATACATTATTTATAAGATTTGTTAACTGAAAGTAATTGTATATTCAGTATGATCTTCATTGTTTTGTTACACAATTAGTGATCACTAGATAAATTTTATGTGCCTAACTCATGATTTTCTTAAATTCTTTTTCCTTCTCCAGAGTCTCAATGTATCAGCTGCCACTTCCCTTGTTCGGGTTGTACTTAACTGTGTGGGAGCTGTTCCTGGAGCTTCTGTTGAAGTGAGCATTTCTTCTCTAAGGAAATACAGTATTGTAACTATGTAAATTTCTGAAGTGGCTGAAAAAGGGAATAATATGTACTAAAGAGGAAAGGAACACATTTCTTACCCATTGGGGTCAGGGCACCTCTGTGAACATATGGTTGAAAAATGCCTGACAGTTCATGTTATCCTTTCCTTTCACACCTATTTTGCTTCCTTTCAACACTCATATCCAACTGTCTTTAGCAGCCTCTTGTGTTTTTAGCTGCATGAAAACTCTTCACACACCAACAACTCTAGTTCTGGTTCACATTTAGGCTAAACAAACCTATGAAATATCAAAGCATTCATGGCATACCCTAGCCACAGGGAGGGATAGACTGTACAAAGCCCACCATTTAGGTGTTAAAGCCCATCAATTTTCCTGTGGTTGGTAGGAATATTGAGCTTCTTATACTTGTTTACTAATATTTGTTGTCTTAATATCACTCTAAAAAATGGATATGCAATTTAATCATTCTTTTTATAACCATAAAATTTGATGATCCCTATATTGCTGCTTGTTAACTCTTGCTGAACATAGATCTTAACCCAACCTCCATGGATTTATGTTCTGTTCCCTGTAGTTTTTTGTGAATTTTGTTACATACAGATGGCTCCACATATGCAAAGCCAGAAAGCAGTTTATTAGTAGGCCCTAATGCCCGATCCTGATTTTCCCATTCCTTGAATTGGC